TCCCGAAGTTGTGCTTCTCTTGCAGCTGATGCAACAGATTTTGACCCTGGTGTTTCAAGACCAGCATTCTTCAGGAATGTAGAAGCAGCACTGGTTTGTGACAGGACCTTGGAAACAATTTTAGTACTAGATCTTGGTGTCTCTAAACCTTTAGCAGGTTGGGCTAGCATATTTTCCATGGCACTCTACAGCATAAAGATGCAAAAATGATAAGTTAATTATACAGAATCCATGTTACAAGCAATGATATGAAATCATCAGAGAATCCATGTTACAAGCAAAGATATGAAAATCATCAGAGAACATATAGGTGCATATATATATATATGTGTGTGTGTGTGTGTAAGCACTTGACCTGAATTTACATTAACTTGTCATGACACATTACATATATGAACATCCTATCCAATAACTTCCCATTTCAGCAAGCATATGAGCATAGATATGAAAATCATCACAGAACATATAGGTGCATATATATATATAAGCACTTGAGCTGAATTTACATTAACTTGCCATGACACATTTTAGATTTGAACATCCAATCCAATAACTTTCCATTTCAGCAAGCATATGAGAATCCATGCACACAAAACACATAACTGCATATATAGGTGTAAGCATGTATGAACATCTTTTCTATGTACTAATCCTGGCCAGCAATCATGTGTTAGTCCCATCCAGCAACCAATTTCACAAGCACAGATAGGACCATCCGCACACATCACACAAATGAGCATCCTTTCCATGTGTTAATCCCTTCTAGCAACCAATTATGAATATAAATTGACATATGTACTCAACCCATCCAGCAATGATGTGTAGGGACTTACAACTGTCTCTTTGACTTGATCCTTCATACCCATCTTCTTGCTGGTATGGAATTCCTTGAACCTCTCTGCTGCATTGACGTCTCATTCTTGTTTTTCTCCCTCTGTATTTAGTTTGAGAAAGAAATGCAGAAAAATTAGCTTTTGTATCTACACACAAACAGAAAATGTAGTGTACCAGATTTTTAGCACTTACATATGTATACAAGTGCGAGATGTAGCTGCGAGATCCTGTCGACTGATTGTGTTTGACCTTAGTACGGTTGCGCTTGTTCTTCGCAGCTACTTCTTGAAAGGCAAACATGTAAGATGCAGATAAAATAGACAGAACAAAGAAGTTGTTGTCTTATGGCACATCATACCTTCCCTTTTCGACTAGACTACATAGCCATGAGTTCAAGCCACTAGTCATCAGTCAGACTCAAAACAGGGGAAGTTGTTCTGACTTGATTAGCCAGGACACCGATGAAGTACTTCTTCTTCAATAAATATCTACTCTGGCGTACCCCAGATTGGAGTAGATTGGTGCAGGCTTGCTTTGTTGGTTCATCATTTTCATCAACTGCCAACCTGGTCTGTAGAAGTCAATCAGCCATGAGATTTAGCTATTTGCATTTGATACAATGACTTATGGAAAGTACCAAATAGATATGGAAGGTATAGATTTACTTACATATAACTGGCCCATGAATTCTTTCAAATGGTTTTCTTCATCCTTCTTGTATTCTTTCCAATGAGCTAGGATAGGCATGCTGGACCTAATGACAAGTCCAGCCTCTAAAGCTATCTTAGCATCTTGTACAAGCTTCTCAGGCCTTTTCTTCCCAGGAGCAATTTCAATCGGCAACCTTCTTCCCATAGCCTTTGTCATATTGTCCAGCAATTTGCCCTTTGTTGGCGGTCTTGGTTATCTTGGAGCACGTCATGGACCTACAAAGTTTGCGCTGAGAGTGTTAGAGTAGTCCACAGTTAAATCAAAGAATGTGAGAATGCATGATCTGTTACTTGCCTTCAGGAACAGTCTCTAACTGTCAGTGTTATCCTAAACACTAAACGGTAAACAGTCGGTCACCTACCGTTTAGCCCATTATTCGGGCAAAACGGGTGTTTAAACGGGAAAAACGGTCGTTTAAACGGTCAAAACAACCGATTAAATGGAAACGGTGTACCACCGTGTAGCGTTTAATCGGTGTGTAAACGGGCTAAACGGCCGTTTAGGAAAACAGTGCTAACTGTTCAGAGACAACATGTTCATCTGCATTAGTTTGCTCATCACAATCAGACCAGTCTAGAACAGGACTGGCGGGACAATCTTCTTCTTTGCCTTGCACCACAGGGGCTGTGTCATTGTTCTCGGGCTGTGGATTTATCTGGTCCTCAGCACTGTCTTGTTGGAAGTTGGTGCTGTACTTTTTTCCATACCTTGTTGAAACTCCAGGAACTATATCGCTTCCTGGAGTTGCCCTCACCCTTTTTGTTCCACCTGGAGGCATCCTGGTCTTCTTCTTCTTGGTTAGTCGACCCCACTTGTTGTTGTTGTTGTTGTCAATTTCCTAACACAAAAGGGAAAATATGTTATTAGAACTTGAATGAAAATAAGTATCAGAATATATATCGGATAGCGTGATGCAAAAACCCCCAACCAAGATTGAGAAGAGACCTTTTCTACGCTAGTATTCACACATTCATCATCGTCTTCCAGGCCCTCTTCAGCTCTAGGAAGATATTCGGATGAATCTGACCGCTCATCAGGACCATTCTTGTGTGTTTGCGTGTTCGGATTCTACGAACTTGCATTATGAAGAGAAGCGGCCAAGGTAGGGAGACCCAAGGCTGCCATCTTCTTGTTGTTCTCCTCGATTTACAAGTCCTGAAGCCATTCATAGTACCCTATTTGTAAACAAATTTTAGTCCAATTGATCCCTAAACCCTAAACTTAAACCCTAAACCCTATATAGTAGAAGGCCTACCTAGACTACTAGAAGATGACGCTACACAGGGGAACCAAATATGAAGAACAAAACCCTAAACCCTAAAATGAGAAGCACTTGGCAGAACCTGGGCTCGGGGGGCAGCGGCGTGGTGCGGCCCGTTTAGGCATCGTCGATGGTTGCCTCCGGTGGGGTGGACGTCGTGGTGTGGCTCAACGAAGTGGTGTGGCTCCTACGTCTCCGTCTCTAGTGGGGTGGATGTCGTGGTGTAGCTCGACGGAGTGGTGTGGCTCCTACATCTTCGTCTTCGGTGGGGTGGACGTCGCAGGTCACAGCTCCTTCATCTCCGTCTCCATTGAATGTCGCACTTCTAGGTTGCAGCGGAGTGGATCTAAGCGGCAGAGGAGTGGATCTAGGTGGCAGCATAGTGGCTGTATGCGAGGGTGGCGGAGGAGTGGCTCTAGGACGGTGGTGGTAGCGGTAGAGTGGATCTAGGGCGACGATAGAGTGGATCTAGGAGGAAGATTGGTGGAGTGGAGTTAGGGGGTGGAGGCGGAGTGGGTCTAGGAGGCCGACGGTGGAGTGGATGCAGGGGGAGGTGCGATGGTGCAGTGGATCTAGGAGGTGCGGCGGCGGTGGAACGGGCAGAAATGAAATGAGGTGGTTGCGGCGAGGTCTTGGCCCAATGGGAGGGGATTGACAAATATATAGTCCTCGGTGAAGTTACTATTTTGTCTCTGTTCTATTGTTTCAGGAGCCGTCATGCTGGAGGGCAGTAGGGGGTTTTCGCAGCCACCAAAAATTGGGCGGAGACAAGCGTGTCGACGCCAGAAGCGTTATGCGGGATCTGGAAAGCATTTTCTTCTTGCAGAATAAAACTAAATGGTTTTTTTGTTTTTGTGTGTTTGTACTATTGAAGTGTAAAATGATATTTGTTTGTACGAATTTGACATCAATTTCTATGTGTTTGAGATACAAAGTATTTTTGTATATAATGATATTTTTATGGTAGTATACTAGTTTACAATGTTGTTTTTAGTACATGAACCTTCTTTGATATATCATGGACAAATTATAGACTCATTAGATGTGAAAGATGAAAACCTTCTCTGATGTACACATTAAATGTGCAAGATGACAATATTTGAGGTCTCAAATTATAGGGAGACATACATGATCCCTTATTTTTGTAGCTATATACACATACACATTGTACTTAACTATAATGTGTGTGCATGAATGAATTTAAACACTTAATAAGTTGATTAGCACTTCATAAGATCACATACAATTTGTGCATGAATGAGTTGATTAGCACTTCATAAGATCATATACGACGTGCATATGCTTGGATTACTTCATAATGCTTTGTTACTATATAACACACACACATATAGCTAATATGCATTTCATATAGCTAAGCACTTCATAAGATAAGATCATATACATGCTTGGTTATATCAACACACATAGTTATGCACTTCAATTGATAAGATCTTATACATGCTTGGTTATATCAACACACGTAGCTATATGATGTGTAAGATCGTATGCACTTCATATACATGCTTGGTGTACTTATACACTTGATATGGACCATACAATGACCATTAGAGTGTGAGTTTTACAATTATTGTACTTTAATGTAGGACTTGAACATTGCATTGAAAATCCGGTTCAGATTAGATTCAAAATGAGCTAAAATCATGGATTTGACCACAATTTGACCATCATGGACCCACTAGTCAGCCTCACCCCATGCTGAACCGAGTCCATACATATGAAGGGCTGACCTCGGTGGACCAACCTTGTCAGCCTCTAGCCCAAACAGTCTGATATCCCCCCAATCCCTCCCAAAATCCCTGAATTCCCCAAATCGGCCAGGCGCTGTCGAAGTAGCTTCGACACCTCGCTGATCAACACCGGTCCGCACCCACCCCCACCGTGCACCCATAGCACCGGCCACCAGCCACCGTGCCACTGGTCAGCACTCGCCCCCACCGGGCACCCACTCCACCGTCCACCACCCGCCGTGCGACAGCCGTGCCCCCACTCCATCGTCCAAGACCCGCCGTGCCACAGCCGTAGCCCCACTCCATCGGTCACCTCACCCCCCGCCGCGCCGCAGCCATGCCCCCACACCACCAGCAACCAATTGCCATGCCACTGGACACCACCCGCCACCGCCGTGCACCCACTCTATCGGTCACCTCACTCCACCGACTAGGGTTAGAGCTCCATGGAAACCACCGCTGGCTCAAGCTCGTCGCAGAGCTCCATGGAGCGGTCCGGGGAGCGGTCCCCGTACTCCTCTCCAATTACCTATCGCCATCCCTCCTACTCATACACATCGTCTATCAACTGCTACTGCAGTCAGAAGACTCCCAGGTGGATCTCATGGAGTAATGGGAATCCAGGAGGAGGTACCATTCATGCTACAAATATCGGGTGAGTTCAATTTACATTGTGATGGGGTGATTTGAATCCAGGAAATAGTCTGTCTGATAATTTGCTAAATTGTTGTGGATGCAAGGATGGTGGATGCAGTTTTTGGGTGTGGTTGGATCCCAAGCCAATAGATCATCAGATCGAAATCTTTGTTGATTTACGAGATGCAGTTAAGGCCTTGCATAACAAGAACAAAACTCTGGAGCTAGAGAAGAATGAACTCAGTTTTTTGCTGGATGAAGCACATGTGGAGAATGCCAAACTGGTGAAGGAGAAGAAGGAGGCCAGGGCACTTGTGAAGGAACTTGAGGCCAAGGCACTTGCCAAGGAGCTGGAGGCCAAGCTACAGCTGGTGGCCTTGTTTAGTAAAGGTGCCAAGGCGTGTTGTGGTTCAGTGATCCTTCTTGCTATGTTTTTGGCACTCCTGGTGGCCATGTTTAGTAAAGGTGCCAAGCCCCTGAAGCTACAGCTGCTGTGAATGAGTTGTCTGAATATATGAATTAGCTTAGTCTGAATTAGCTTAGTCTAAATTAGCTTAGTCTGAATGAGTTGTCTAAATGAGTTGTTGAATGTATGAATTAACTATATGAATGAGTTTCTGGTATCAATGTATGAAACTATGAGTTGCCTGAATTAGTTGTTGAAATGAGAAAATGTTGGCATATGTTGGCAACATCCCAAAAAATGACAAATTGTATGAATGAGTGCTTGATAGAATGCTCAATTGGTTTTATAGAATCTGTTACAATTCCATAACATCAACATCCAACTAAAAAAGACAGTGAATTGCCAACAAAAGAGTCACTGTTACAAATGTTTGTGCTCCATCAACATCCCACAAAAAGACAGCTACAAATGGCAGTTAATCTAATCATCATCATTACATTCCATGGGACCCCTATCATTGTAACTAAAATACTCAAAGATAGTGTCATCTTCACAACCTTCAGAGTCACTGTTTTTAGCCATGTCTTCTTCCCTTCTATTGATAAGAACTTGTAAGTTACCAGCAACAGTAGATTTCTCTCCATCTACACGTCGGTGCACTGGTGCAGGCTCATCTAAGCCATCATCATCATCTTGCACCCCATGCTCATTATCAGAACCAGTTTCATCTTGGTGAATAGTGCTCAATTCTGTTTCATTGACACCATACATGCTCCTATGCTCAAATTTTTGGACAACACGCTAATTTACGCCAACTGTGTGTATTGCACATAGAAGACCTTTTTTGATTGAGTTGCTAATATAAATGGGTCTGACTTGTACCAAAACCTCTCTATATTGATGGATCTAAAAAGGCCATCATCTCTAATGGTTCTAGCTTTGCCATCTTGACTGAACCATTCACACCGAAAAAGTACCATAGTTCAAATGAATTCCAAATTGGAGTTATAGCTCAACTCAACTATCTCTTTGAGCTGACCATAAAATTCAGTTGACACTCTGTTATGTGTTCCATCCACCAGCACACCACTATTTTGTGTCTGCCTTTGTCTTTCATGGTCGATAGTGTTGTATCGAACACCATTCACACTGCATGATGCCCATAATTTCACTCTAAGGTTAGGACGACATGATATTGCATATAGCCCTTCACTAACCTCTTCACGATTATCCTTCCACAGCATCTTGATCTAATAAGACAACAAAATAAGTGAAAATTGAAATATATGAAAAGAATAATGCCGGACAACATATGAAGTTAAAAAATAAATCTGGAACCACTTACACGACTCCTAAACCAAGCAGGAAATTCCTTTTCCAACCTATTCTCAACATCATGGCCACCTTGTTTCTCTAACACTTCTCTAAACTTGTTGCACACATAGTTCACAATATGTATTGGTCATGCATGTTTAGCATAGTTGTTTATTAGCACACACAATTTAGAAAAAACACTCACCTTAAATATGGCTCTACCTCGTCACAGTTGTTTAGCACATAGCAACAAAGCCTGTCAAATTCTTTGTCCTCAAGATATGTCTGCCTATTGGCTCCCAAGAGTTTAACACCATGCTGGAAGATAGAGAGGTCAGCATCTGATGCTCCCTGATCCCATTTCTCATCATCCCGATTAAATCTAGTGACAACATCTTCCATGTACCTTGAGCAAAAGGTCAAGGCCTCATTAGCTATGTACGCCTCAGCGACGGATCCTTCAGGTCTAGCCCTATTCCTCACATACCCCTTCAAAGTGCCCATTTGGCGTTCGATCAGGTACATCCATCCATATTGGACATGACCTCTTAGGAGTGCTTCATCAAGAAGGTGGACAGCCAAGTGGACCATCACATCAAAAAAAAGGCAGGAGGAAATATTTTCTCCAGCTTGCATAGTATCACAGGGATTTATGCCTTTAGATGTTTGATTACATCAACCTTTAGTTTCCTACTGCAAAGCTCTCGAAAAAATTTACCCAACTCTACAACTGCTTCATATATCTCCTTGTGCACTAGTCCTCGGAGACCGACAGGTAAATTCTTTGGAGCAGGATGTGCAATCATGGGTTTTGAGGCCCTGCACCTTGGAACCATCTGCATTAATGCATCTTGTCAGGTTGGAAGCGTATCCATATGGAAACCGAATACTTTTTAGAAATCCATAAAATGCAGCCCTTTCTTCTTTCTCCATGGCATACCATACTGTTGGCATGGAAACTGAATTGCCATCATCTTGTTCTAAATGCAACTCAGGTCATATGCCCATATCCTGCAAATCAGGTCTCGCATTAACTGTATCCTTATTCTTGCCCTCAAGACGGAGTATTATGCCTAGAAGGGCATCACATATATTCTTCTCTATATGCATCACATCAAGATTATGTGGCGGCTTCAAGTGTTTACAATAAGGTAGTTTCCACAGAGCGGACTTTTGGCTAAATAATTTTGGCTCATCGTCCTTCTGTGCATGCTTCCTTTTCTTTCTACCATCAGGCTTACCAGGACTAACATCTTTTACCTTCTCTAGACACTCCAATGTCTCATCCATACTCAACTTTTGTGGCTCAACTTGGTTTTCTCCACTAGTAGAGAAATGACTTTTGATCCACATCAAAATTTGGCTTTAGTCCCGGTATTTTTCGCGCCCGGGACTAGAGAAACCTTTAGCCCCGGTTGGAGATACCAACCAGGACTAAAGGATTACTTTTACTCAGGTTGGTCCCTCCAACCAGGAGTAAAAGTCTACTCCCGGCTGGAGGCTCCGTCCGGGACTAGAAAGGGACCTTTAGTCCCAGTTGCTGTCTCCAACCGAGACTAAAGGTCCCCTCCTATATACCCCTTCTTCCTCCCCGAGCCCGAGCCACTTCGTGCTCAGTGTTCTTGCTTCATATCGCCGTCCTCTCTTCTTCCTCATCGCCGGTAATCACAAGATTTCTTCGATTCCTCCATCGATTCTTCGGTTCTAAAGGTTACCAACTTTATACTCTCATGTTTCATCAGTAGCATATCTCATTTTGTGTACTAGATATATGTGGTTTTTTATGGTGGATTTTTTTTATTTGTAAGCCATTTAAGCTCAAAATCACTTTAAAGTTTGCATATTTGGATGAAGGAAGGTTAAAGTAGTTATTCAAAACTAGTATTCAGCTTTCATTTCTAGCATGCATAGCACACTTCATGGTTTAGAGATATAGAGAATTTTAGAGTTTTTTTAATTTTATTTGTTTATAAAATGAGAAATTTATATTATATTAAAAATGAGTATAGAGAGTAGATGGCAACTGCTTCCGGGTCCTCGGCCTCTCATTGGGTTCCAAAGCGACTGAGGCTGGACCTCCCTCTCATTGCATGCGGCAAGTGTGAGGAGAAGATTGTGATGGAGTACCGGGTGAGTAAGGAGTGTCCCAACAAGGGCCGTATCTTCTACAAGTGTTCGGATCGCAATATGAGTTATTTTGTCGCATTTGATGATTACGGTTAATTTATACTTATTTTCATGATGATGGTGATTAAAGTTCTATTTTTTGTTTTAATTTCAGTGGGATGGCACTGAATGTTCAGGCTGGTACTGGGAGGAAGAGTATGTTGAACACGTGCAAAACTCTCTTGCACAAGTGGCTACGGCGGCTGATGAGGCAGTAATCCTACGGAAGAAGCCCATAGATGTTGAACAAACGCATGATCTGTCTGTTTTAGTTGGGATTGGTCACAAAATCCTTATGCTGTTGAAGTGCATTTTAGCTTTAGTTTTTTTAGTGGTAGTTGGGATTGTCTACATTGTAGCGAGACTTTCATAAATTAATACCTTGTGTGGTGGCATGCATGTCGTATAATTAACTAATTATGTTCTAGGTTTTAATATGGTATGTATGTCATGTAATGCAGATGAGCCAGCATTGGATGTACAATGCTGATCGCCGCTCCCAAGAGTTCATTGAGGGCGTGCATTCTTTCTTACGTGTGGCCGAGGCAAACAAACGCGATGGTTACATGTGCTGCCCATGTGCCACATGTAAGAATTTGAAGGAATATGCTAGCTCAAGGAGTCTTCATTCACACTTGTTGAAGTCGGGTTTCATGCCAAACTATATTTGTTGGACGAAGCACGGAGAAACCGGGGTTGTAATGGAAGAAGGTGAAGAAGAACAATGGGATGATGATGACATTATTGCTGAATATGGTGCCTTCAATGATACTACAATGGGTGAAGCTGAAGAAGAGGTAGGGGCAGAAGATGAGCCGGCTGATGATCTTGGTCAGGCCATTCGTGACGCACAAAGAGAATGCGAAAGTGAAAAGGAGAAGATCAAGATCAAGCGAATGCTAGTGGATCACAAGAAATTGCTATACCCAACTTGTGATGCGGGGCAGAAAAAGTTGGGTACCACACTGGAATTGCTGCAATGGAAGGCAAATAATGGTGTATCTGACAAGGGATTTGGGGAGTTACTAAAAATCTAAAAGAAGATGCTTCCAAATGATAATGAATTGTCCGCCACTACATACGAAGCAAAACAGGTAGTATGCCCTTTGGGATTAGAAATCCAGAAGATACATGCATGTCCTAATGACTGCATCCTCTACCGTGGCGAGGAGTATGAGAAGTTAGATGCATGCCCGGTATGTCATGCATCACGGTATAAGATCAGGCGAGATGACCCTGGTGATGTTGAGGGCGAACGTCCCACGAAGAAAATCCTAGCCAAGATTATGTGGTATGCTCCTATAATACCACGCTTGAAACGTCTATTCAGAAACAAAGACCATGCAAAGTTGTTGCGATGGCACAAAGAAGACCATAAGGTAGACAATATGTTGAGACACCCTGTTGATGGGTCCTAGTGGAGAGCAATCGATAGAGAATTCCCGGAGTTTGCAAATGACGCAAGAAACTTAAGGTTTGCTTTAAGTACGGATGGTATGAATCCTTTTGGGGAGCAGAGTAGTAGTCATAGCACTTGGCCTGTTACTCTATGTATCTACAACCTTCCTCCCTGGTTATGCATGAAGCGTAAGTTTATTATGATGCCAGTGC